TCACCTTCTCCAAGCCTAAGCCTCATTCCTGCCTGAACCTCACCTAAACAAGAAACTCCTGTCATTGTCCAGAAATCCTGAAGCCAGAATCAGGATCACTGCAGGCTGCCTGAGCAATGGGGGCTCTGCCAGGCAAAGCCAAGTGCTAAGGGGAATAAGGATGTTTGCTGGTCACTTGATTCCAGGAAGAGAGCCCACAGCAGTCCCCCCAGGCTTCTCAGGCGCTGTGCCCAGTTTGCCTCTCGCCTCTATTGATCTTGATGCGTGGCCAAGTGAGTGGGGAAATGACCTCGCCCTCTGCCTGTGTCTTTTAGGTAACCTAGGCTGCCTGTGGAGGAGGACGCAAGGCTGTGCCAGGCCCAGGACAGGCTGGGTTCCCCTGTGCCTGAAGTGCCAGATGCCCAGGCTCCCACAGCCTGACAGCTCCAGGGAGGCTGAGATAGAAGATGCCAGCCCATCTGGGGAGGAAACCTTTCACTGCTCTGAGGTCGGTGCTTCTGCAGTCAGCTCCACAAGCAAACTGGTCCACAGAAGAGGGGGGTGGGGTGGGGGTGGGGAGGAGCAGGATGCAGGCCCCCAGCAGGAAGAAGGAACAAGGACATTGCATCAGACCCCTCCCCTCGCCTTGTCCCTGGAAGGCTCCACGGGACTCTCCAGACACTTTCCCCTTGATGGGATGGGGCTGGGCGTGAAACTGGGTGTCACGGAGAGTCATGACTGTCTCATGCTGCCTGACAGTGCTGTCACTGCTTGGCCTCTAGCCCATGCCACTGTGGGCTGAGATCTATCTTTTTGCAGATGTCTTCTGTTCTAGAGAAAGCACAGCCTCCCTGATCACAGGGATGACATCTTCAGCCTTTCTCCCCCACAGAACCAAGCCCACCGGGTGACATGGAGCAGGTGCTCCTCAAGGTCTCCTGACAACTCGCCCTGACTGTCAAGGCTCTGAGACATTCCCACCTGGTCCCCCCTATAGCCCAGGGCCAGGGCCCTCCCCTTCTGCCCAGAGCCAGGGGTAGCATCATGGTCCTGCTGCCAGAGAGCCCTCCAGGAAGTGCCCTGTGAGAACTCTCCCCCACGGTGGGTACCCTGCTTGCCACAGGGCCTGGCAGTGACAGAAACTGGGGGAGGAGGGAGGGAGGAAGTGAGTCAGCTTCTTGCAGAAATGGGAATGGGAGGGAGGAGCCAGCATAACTGAGATCAGAGGGCAAAGGGCATGGGGGCTGGAAAGGTCACTAAAAGAGGGAATTAGGCCCTAGAGGTGTTGTGGGGCCCAGAGAGTGGAGGACAGATACAGGTGACAAACTCAGCAGTGCTACCTCCTGCCAAGGTTGAGTGCCCCCTATAGGCCGGAGAACCTGGGTCTGGCAGGCACAGCCCCACCTGAGGATGGAATCTGAGGCAGCTCCCTTCCTGACTCATGTACTGACTGGAGGAAGTGAGGCCTTGTGGGATCTGGTCAGCCACATTCTCGCCTCACTGCTGTGGAGTCTCTGGTCCCTATGGCCTCCCACTGCGTCTCCCGAGCCCCAGTGCTCCAGAAGCCCAGGTTTCCCCTGGCCTGGCCCAATGGGGAAACAGATGTCTGCATCTCCCAGAGAGGATGGGAACTAAGTCGGGCCCCAAGAGCCAAGCAGCTGGGGCTGCCCCAGCATATGCCCCTGCCCTCTCTGACAGGCCCTGCCCATGCAGGAGCTGTCCCCAGGCTCCAGCTGGAATCTGTCGCTCTGACTGGGGAAAATCCTTGCTGTGAAAATTCCCAGCCTGCCGACATTCCAGTACACAGGCAGCCCAGGGAAAGCAGAGGGGAAGAGGAGCCTTGAACCCCGCAGGGCCATATTCCACCCCAACAAGACCTGCAGCCAGGAAGACAGGCACATTCCTCCAAGGTCCCCTGGGCCGGTCACTATGTGACTCCACATGACCCTAAATCTGCTTCTCATCCCCGCCTGGTGCCTTCCTGGGGGCTTCATGGTTGGGCAGGAGGCAGAGCCCCTTCCACAGGCTCTTGCTCCTGAATGTCTAGAGCCCATCTCCCCTCCACTCCTGTGAGGGGTGCCGAGTGCCCAGGCAGGCACACAAGAAACAGAGTCGCAATGTAGTCACCAAGGACAAGTCGCAGATAAGTCACCAAGGACAGTCAATGGAGAGGGTTCTAGGAACCAAAACTGAGCTAGGTGAGGGAACCTGGACAGAGAGAATGAGAAGTTCCTGACTAGAGAACCATCTTCTTCCCCTCAACAAATATCCACTGCTCTCAAATGCTCCAGCACGGTATTTAATTACAGTCTTGATGAATGCTATGAAGGAAAAGGATGAGGTGCAGACCAGACATGGTCTGAAGGAACAGGGAAGGCTTCCCTCAGGAAATGATATTCAGACCAGGGCCAATGTGTATGAGTATGTGAGGGTAGGCAGGAAAAAGCATCATAGACAAAAGGAACAGCAGGGTAGAAGCCAACAAAAACTGCGTGGCACACCCATCACCTGCTAGGCACTCAGCCAGGCCGTGCCCCTCACCTTTTTCCCAGAGCACACACTGGGAAACAACATGTCCAGCCCCCGTGCAACAGAACGGGACCTGTCCTTGGTCAGAGGTGACATTCAAGGGTTCCTGCGACTCCAAGTGCTACAGAGTCAGTACCAGGATGTCGGTAAGGGCCAAAAGGGTGAGGTGGCAACATGCTTGGCCTCCGGCATCTAGCAGGGGAGACATATGAGGTGCAAAAGCACACCCCTCCACCACCCTAGGGGCCACACACGAATGCTGCCAAGGCAAGTGCCACTACTCAGCTGCCTTTTCAGGACTTGTCCCAGCTCCCTCAAGATTAAATTCTACCCGCTGCCACTTGGGCTCACTTCCTCTGGCTAATCCTCAGGAGAGACTGAGAGCATCCATCACCGCCTTCTGCAGCATGCCATCCACAGAGCACAAGTGGCCAGTCTCTCCTGGTTCCCCCTTTCCTGCTGGAAAAGAGGCTTCTAGTGACAGGGCAGAAGGAATCAAAAGGCCCAGGCCTGGGCTAGGCAGTGGGTGTGTAAGGACCCCCCCCCCCGGAGAGCATACATATCCCTCCTGTGTGCAGTGAAGGGCAAGGAGCTGATGCCTTCAGTTCAAATCCTGACCAGTCACTCAGTAGACGTGAAACCACAGGCAACTTAACCTTGAACTCTCTGTAATTCAGACCTCTCTGTAATCCAGTTTCTTCATTTGCAAAACTGAGATGATTATAATACCTACTTCAGAGGGTTGCTGGGAAGATTAAATGAGTTAATACACATGAAACATCTAGAATGGTGTCTAATGGAAGGAGAGTGGACGCCAGCTGTGATCCTTGTCCCTGTGACTATTTTTCATGCCCTTCCCTCAAGGCATTTCTGCTTGGTTGAATCTTTACCAGATCAATGAAATACCACTTAGGGAGCACGTGTGTGCTACACGCCATACCAGGCGCCATACAGAACACTGGGCAGACGGCCTACGGTCTTCCCGGCCCCGGAATCTGTGCAGAGTGGCTGGGCTGAGCCAGGCCAGGGCAGAACACCACGCCCTGGTTCTGAGGAACGTATGGCGGGAGATTAAGGGAGCCAGAGTGGTGTCCCAGGTCTAAGGAAATAGTTTCCCAACCAAACTAGATCCAACAACTGAAAAAATAAGCTTTGCTGACACTGTCCCCTGTATTTAACAGAACAGAAGCTGCTGCCAAACACCACGCGAAACTCAAGGGCTGGGGCCCTCCCCAAACTGCACAGCAGGCAGTGGGGGGCCGTGAAGACTGCCCTCCTTGGCAGTGCCAGTCTGACATGGTGGGTGCCCACTGTGCTGCGAATGCCTGGGGCACATCCATACCCGCTGCCTGGGCTGACAAAGGAGGCGCCAGGCAGCCTGCCCAGGCAGCAGGGGAGCCCCCACGCCAACTGGTCACCGACCCCCCACCCCCACAGATGCTGCTCCCCACCCCAGGCTCCAGTGAGGAGAATCCAGCAGCTTAGTGTAGTGGGGTGGCGGGAGCCCTGCTGGCAGGCAGAACGCGTGCTTGTGGTTTCTGGGAAATGCTGTAGAGATTTGCAGCATTTTTAAAATACTTGTGTTCCCACCCGCCACACACCCCCCTTCGCCCCACTCCTCACCCACCCCCAGTCTGGGTTTTTGCATATCTGGTATTTTCCAGAACCATTTCAATGTAAATAAGAGAGATTAGAAGGGAGAAGAGGACAAGGTGACCAAGGGTATCAGGGTGGGCCAGAGGGGTTCTGGCCAGGGCCGGAAGGGGTCAGAGCAGCCTGCCTCAATCAAGGCCCTGCCCCTGCACCAGGGATCCAAGCCATACCTGCAAAAACAACCAATGACCATGACATGTAACCACCCAGTTCAATGTGGCCTGGGCACTGTGCCCACCACCTACGGGCTGGATGGCCAGGGCACTCTTGGGTTGTAGTTTGTCTAATGTCTCATTGGAAAAAGGCAGAATGGTCCTCTGAAGACAGGAGGGAGACCTAGCAGGACAGAAGTGACTTAGTCCACCACTCTGTCCTGCTGGTCCATGTACCCCACTAATGCAGGATCGATAACCCCCCAAAATGCTCCCACAAGGTCTTTCACCCATCAGTCCTCAAGCCCTTGATACCTACTCACCAGCCTCTCATTACCAAAAAGACATAGTTTGGGATCTGCTCTGAGCCTTCAAATCAAGGATCTCATACAGTGAGACTCTGATGCCAGAAATGCCAAAAGCTTTGGCACAAAATGAAGTAAAAATTTCCTGGAGTCACGTTAGGAACAGAAGCATTCTAGAACACTAAGCTCAGGCAGTCCCCAGCTGCTCCACCACCTCCAGAAGTCTCTGGGAAAGTTCACTGCTCAGAAGCTGGCCTGGCAGAACTGGAAGCAGCACAATTTCGAGTCCCCCCTTGAAATCTTGCAGGCCCTACTCCCGACAGCTCCCAGGGGTCCTGGGGACAAGGGTGATGAGGCTTATACTGTTTCTGCCTCAGGGTCTTGGGCTTCCACTAAGCAAAGGGGCCCCTGCCTTCTCCCAACTGCAAGCAACCCTACTGGCCAGTCTCCTGCAAGGCCATTGATAACCACGCCTGCAGGCCTGAGAAACTAGGCTCTAAAAAGCTGGAAAAAGCAGGAGGGCATTCAGCATCCCCTCTCTCCCTCCAGCTGGCTGTCTTTAAGGACAGAGCTACAGAGAAAGTTTGGACAAAAGCATCCAGAGTCCCACTGGAAAGAAAACCTTAGCAGGAGCAAGAATGGAAGAGCACCAGAATGGACTGATCAAGGAGGCTGCAAAAATAC